TCCCAGTACTTTCAGGACCCCTTTCAAAGTATCAATCTTCCTTCTTTTATAATTCTCCAAAAGGTGTCTTGGCATCTCTTCAAAATGTGTCTTGATTCGATATATTTACCCAAGAGATGCATCATTTCACAATAATTTTCGTTCATGGTGGTTGTAACCACCTATTAAGCCAATAGGTGCCTCAAAAACCTCTTCAAAATTTGAAAAACTGAATTTACTCATCCAATAACTGCCACTGGCGCTTAAGCGTGAAGCCTCTGGCGCTAAGACATGACCTTCTTTGTTTAACTGGCGTTTAAGCACCGGATCTGTCGCTTAGGCGCCAAAACACTTTTTGCACATTTTTCACATATTTGCTCCAACATATTTGCTCCAAATTTTTTTCACATATTTGCTCCAAATTTGATTCTTTTTCACTTCTTTAAGCATTTTTTCACATTTTTACCTGTACTTGAAAGAAAAACATAAAAACACATTCCATTAAAGCGCAATATCTAAAAAATAAGTATAAAAATGTGTCTTAAAACACTATCTATTTTAGGTGTATTAATAACCACGTTATTTCAGGCGTATCAAAATCCCCCAAATATAAAAAGTTACTTTTCTTCAAGTGACACTTCAATATTTAAAAACTAAATATGTATGATATGTATATGAGGTATGATATGTAAATGAGTTTCTTTAGGAGTTACTAAAATTTTGATTTAGAAATATAGTAGTCCAATATAGAAAAAAATATTTAGTAAATGAGACCAACTTAATGTCTAAAACTTTTTAAATTTAAGAAATATGAAAATATGAGTTTCTATCTAATTCAGAAATATTGTAGGTTTTCCAAATTTAGAATTTAATCTTTTTATTATTTCAACTTAAAAATTTATATTAGGAATAATTTTACTTAGTATATGATGCCTTAAGCTTAATAGTTTCTCAAGTCATATACTTTCAAAAGCTCAAATGTGGAACCAATTTTTGATTAGGCACTAATCCTCAAGCTTCTCTCTTCTTCTTTTTTGTCTTTTTCTTTTTCTTTTTCTTTTTTTTCTTTTTTATCTGGTTAGAGTTTAGGCAATGATTACTATATCTGGATAGACCTTTAATAATTTTGAATTCTACTTTTCTTTTCCTAAAGCAAAGTCTTGGTACAAAACTTTTACAAAACTTTTACGTACAAAACTTTTACTTATAAATATAATAATAGCTTTTAAAATTATTCTTAATAAAAGAAAGTTAAAATAAAAGTCTAAATTTCTAAAATTTTCAAAAATACAATGTTTCTTATTAAAGATAGTTACTTATATTAATCATTTTCTACACTAAAAACTTTTAACTTAAAGTTTTTCTTCATTACTCAATATTTCAACTAAATTCTCTTACTCATTTCTAAAATCGAATTTTACTTCCCTAATATAACTTCATAAATATGATCAATTTTTTTTTTTCAAATCAAATTCACTTGTAGTTCATTTGAGAACAAATAAAATTAAAGTTTTGAAAATATTTTTCATCCCCCCGAAACTTAAATTTTTAACAGATGAAACAATTTAAATCAAATATATATATAAACAAGAATGAAAATTAAAATAACTATTAACAGGAATTTTTATAACCTAATGATACAAGTATAAAAACCTAATGATACAAGTATTTAAATTTGATCAAATTTTCTAATATTTTCATTTCAATTCAACATGTAGAGATTCAATAGACTTCTATCAAATTTTCTAATATTTTGGAGATTCAATAGACTTCTAAAATTTAATAAACTTCTAAACAATGGGTATAAACATAAAGGCAAACTAACACACTAACTTGACTTCACAATATCAACATAAAAACAAACTCACAAAACTTAATCACAAACATCACACAAGAAAAAATACAGGATAACAATTTCTGAAATTTAATATTTAAGACCTAAGTTAGCAAGATTTTCATCTTTCCAAAAGACATAGAATTAAGTTAAGTTCTAAACTAACTAAATCACAAAACTCACAACAGTTACT